CTTTAATGGCCCCCCAGTCTTAGTCCGTAGGGTTCAATATTGAGTTGGCCAGCCTTTCCACACACATGACCTTTAATGGCCTCCCAGTCTTAGTCCGTAGGGTTCAATATTGAGTTGGCCGGCCTTTCCACACATATGACCTTTAATGGCCTCCCAGTCTTAGTCCGTAGGGTTCAATATTGAGTTGGCCCCGCCCTTTCCCCACACATGACCTCTAATGGCCCCCCAGTCTTAGTCCGTAGGGTTCAATATTGAGTTGGCCCCGCCCTTTGCAGCTATAACAGCTTCAACTCTTCTGGGAAGGCCGTCCACAAGGTTTAGGAGGGTGTCTATGGGAAGGTTGGACCATTCTTCCAGAAGCACATTTGTCAGGTCAGGCACTGATGTCGGGGGAGGAGGCCTGGCTCGCAGTCTCCGCTCTAATTCATCTCAAAGGTGTTCTATGGGGTTGAGGTCAGGACTCTGTGCAGGACAGTCAAGTTCCTCCACCCCAAACTGGCTCCTCCATGTCTTTATGGACCTTGCTTTGTGCACTGGTGTGCAGTCATGTTGGAACAGGAAGGGGCCATCCCCAAATTCCTCCCACAAAGTTGGGAGCATGAAATTGTCCAAAATGTCGCCTTAAGAGTTCCCTTCACTGGAACTAGGGGGCCAAGCCAAACCCCTGAAAAGCAACCCCACACCATAATCCCCCCTTCACCAAACTTTACACTTGGCACAATGCAGTCAGGCAAGTACCATTCTCCTTGCCACCGCCAAACCCAGACACGTCCATCGGATTGCCAGCCTGAGACACGTGATTGGTCCCTCCAGAGAACACGTCTCCACTGCTCTAGAGTCCAGTGGCGGCGTGCTTTACACCACGGCATCCGACGCTTTGCATTGCACTTGGTGATGGAAGGCTTGGATGCAGCTGCTCGGCCATGGAAACCCATTCCATGAAGCTCTCTACGCACTGTTGTTGGGCTCATCTGAAGGCCACACCAAGTTTGGAGGTCTCTAGCTATTGACTCTGCAGATAGTTGGCGACTTCTGCGCACTGTGCGCTTCAGCATGCGCTGACCCCGCCCTGTCATGTGACGTGGCCTACCACTTGGTGGCTGAGTGGCTGTTGTTCCCAGTTGCTTCCACTTTGTTATAATCCCACTAACAGTTGAGCGTGGAATATTTAGTAGCCAGGAAATGTCACGGATGGACTTATTGCCCAGGTGACCACCTATCACGGGACCACGCTTGGAGTCACTGAGCTCCTGAGAGCGACCCATTCTTTCACCAATGTTTGTAGAAGCCGTCTGCATGCCTAGGGGCTTGATTGTATACACCTGTGTCCATGGAGGGGATTGGAGCACCTGAATCACATGATTGGGAGGGCGGGGACAATACTTTCGGCAATATAGTGTATATAAGCTTGTTGGGCATCCTATTCAAAAACTATGGACATTATTATGGAGTTGATCCCAACATGGACATTAATATGGAGTTGGCCACCCTATGGACACTAATATAAAGTTGGCCTTCCCATGGCCATACATAAGGAGTTGGCCCCAATGGACATTATTATGGAATTGGCCCTCCCATAGAAATTAGTATATAGTTGAACCCCTATGCACAATAATATGAAGTATGCTACCCCATTGACCATTAATATGGAGTTCACCCTCCCATGAACATTAGTATGGAGTTGGCCCCCCATGGACAGTAATATGACGTTGGCCCTCCCATGAACATTAGTATGGAGTTGGCTCCCTATTGACATTAATATAGAGTTGGCCCTCCCATAGAAATTAGTATGTAGTTGGCCCCCTATGCACATTATTATGGAGATGGCTACCCCATGGACAATAATATGGAGTTGGCCACCCCAAGGATATTACTGTGGAGTTTCCCTCATGGACATTACCATGGAGTTGCCCCGCCCTCCATGGACATTAATATGGAGTTTACTCTTCTAAGGACATTGATATGGAGTTGCCCCCCCCCATGGACATTAATATTGAGTTGCCCCCATGGACATTAATATTGAGTTGCCCCCATGGACATTAATATAGAGTTGGCTCCATGGACATTAATATAGAGTTGCCCCCGTGGACATTAATATAGAGTTGCCCCCATGGACATTATTATGGAGTTGTCCCCCACGGACATTAATATGGAGTTGGCCACCCCATGGACATTAATATGGAGTTGGCCACCCCATGGACATTATTATGGAGTTGGCCAACCCATGGACATTAATATAGAGTTGCCCTCATGGACATTAATATGGAGTTGGCCACCTCGTGGAAATGATTTATTTATTTGATGTATTTTTATAGCGTCAATAATTTATGCAGCTCTTGACATATATACAGTAAATACACATTGTACATTCTCATCAGTCCCCGCCCCCGAGGAGCGTACAATCCAAGGTCCCTAACTCACATTCATACATACACCTACTAGGGCCAATTTAGACAGAAGACAGTTTGTCTTTGGGGTGTCCCTGGAGAAAACCCATAAATATGGAATTGGCCATCCTATGGATATTAATTGGGGGTTGGCCCTCCCATGACCATTAATATGAAGGTGGCTCTTCTGTGGCCATGGAGTTGGCCTTTATATGGCCATTAGTATGGAAATGGAGCCCCATGTCCATTAATATGGAATTGCCCCCCTCCATGACCATTGATATAGAGTAGCCCCCCCCCCATGACCATTATTATTATGGAGTTGGCCTCCTTTGTAGCTATAAAAGCCTCCATTCTTCTGGGAGGGCTTCCCATATGATGTTGGATGGTGTCTGTGGGAATGCCTCTTTGTGAGGTCAGGTACTGATGTTGGATGAGAAGACCTGGCTCACGATCGATGTTTCAATCCAAAGGTGTTCAGTAGGGTTGAGGTCAGGGCTCTATGCAGGACATTTGAGTTCCTCCACATCAAACTGGTCAATCAGTGGGGGAGATTTATTAAAACAGGAGCACTCAGAATCTGGTGCAGTTCTTCATGGGAGCCAATCAGCTTCTAACTTCAGCTTGTTCATGTAAGCTTTGACAATAAAAGCTGGAAGCTGATTGGTTTCTATGCAGAGCTGCACCAGATTTTGCACTCTTCAGGTTTAGTAAATAAAGATGAGATGTGCACTACAGAAAAATATGTTTTGCTTCGGATTTGTTTGTCAAGTTAATCATTTCGTTTCATCATATTCATTATGTTAGAATGATTCGTTTTCAGAATTCTTTTCATAAATTCGGATTTGTTTCATATATTTGTTATCGTCAAATCAAGCTGAAATTCGGAAGATTGACTAAGTGCTTTCTGTTTTATTCTGTTCTATTCTATTTTTTCTATTCTATTCGTTTCTTTTCTATTCTACTCTATTCTACTCTTCTGTGCCTCAGGCGCGCTCTGTGATCTGTGTCCCTTGGACACAGCTTATCACAGAGTGAGGGAAAGGGCCAATCACAGTGTAACCAGGCTTGCCAATTATCGCCAGTCTTTTCCTCACATGCTGCGACAACGAGAAGAAAGCCAGTAACCAGCAGTTCACACACGGGACATTTACATTACTGATCATCAATGCTTTCATTATCAGTGCAGCCCCATCAGTGCCCACCAGTGCAGCCTAGCATCAATGCAGCCCATTAGCGCAGATCAGTGCCGCCTGTCAGTGCCCATTAGGGCAGCCTATCAGTGCTGCTTACCAGTGCCCAACAGTGCTGCCTATCAGTGCCTCCTCATCAGTGCCCACCAGTGCAGCCTAGCATCAATGCAGCCCATTAGCGCAGATCAGTGCCACATGTCAGTGCCCATCAGGGCAGCCTATCAGTGCTGCCTATCAGTGCACATCAGTGCTGCCTATCAGTGCCTCCTCATCAGTTTCCATCAGTGCCCATCAGTGCTGCCTATCAGTGCAGTTCAGTGCTGCCCATCAGTGCTTCCCATCATTGCCCATCAGTGCTGCCTGTCAGTGCTGCCTATCAGTCCAATCTCATCAGTGCCCATCAGTGGCGCCTCATCAGTGCCACCTCTCAGTGCCCATCAGTGCTGCATATCAGTGCACTTCAGTGCTGCCCATCAGTGCCGCCTATCAGTCCAATCTCATCAGTGCCCATCAGTGGCACCTCATAAATGCCACCTCTCAGTGCCCATCAGTGCTGCATATCGGTGCACTTCAGTGCTGCCCATCAGTACTGCCTATCAGTGCCACCTATCCTTCCAATCTCATTAGTGCCTATCAGTGCCACCTCATCAGTGCCGCCTCTCAGTTCCCATCAGTGCTGCCTATCAGTGCAGTTCAGTGCTGCCCATCAGTACTGCCTATCAGTGCCGCCTATCAGTCCAATATCATCAGTGCCCATCAGTGGCACCTCATCAGTGCAGCCTCTCAGTTCCCATCAGTGCTGCCCATCAATGCCGCCTATCAGTCCAATCTCATCAGTGCCCATCAGTGGCACCTCATCAGTACTGACTCTCAGTTCCCATCAGTGCTGCCTATCAGTGCACTTCATTATTGCCCATCAGTGCTGCATCATCAGTGCCCATCAGTGCTGCCTATCAGTCCAATCTCATCAGTGCCCATCAGTGTGACCTCATCATTGCCCATCAGTGCTGCAACATCAGTGCCCATCAGTGAAGAAGAAAAATTACTTATTTCCTAAAATTTCGACAGAAATAAAAACAAAAATGTTTTGTTTTTTTGTTTTTTTAAAATCATCGGCCTGTTTCTACATCGGTTTTTACTGCACATACAGAATGATTTTCACTGTTGTGGGTTTAGTAACACTTTAAAAAGAAACCAGAAGCAAACCTCAGTAGCACAGATATCAGATCAACGGACAATATACAAGCCAGAACTTGCAACAAGTTTTTCAAACATTCATTCAGCATTAAAACAAAAGGGATCCTCGAAGCACGCCGCTGTGCTCAGGCCTCCCCCAACCCGTAGTGCTCTGAAGATCCTTTGTCATTTGTATTCATTGTTTATTGGTAAATCACTGTGTGCGGAGTATACCGTGACACAACTTATAACCACCACCATCCGTCCGTTGTATATAAACGGCCGGACGGTGGCAGTGCAGGGTCGGGTGGCCATTTACAAATGGCCTCCCCGCCCCCTGCGAGCATGCAGCACCGCAATCCAGTGCCCGCTGTGTCCTCCGGACACAGTGGAACACCAATCGTCGTACAGGACCTCACCAGTGATCATATGCAGAGTAGTAAGCAATGATGTCACTTCTGACATAATTGCTTACTACGTGTGAAATCTGTGAATGATCACAGAGCTCACATGGTACAGGGCTATTCACAACAGCCTTGTACCATGTGACAAGCTGTGACCAATCACAGCTCACACAGTAGTTCTCAATGGCTGTAGGAATGCAGCCAGTGAGAAGGAGAAATTATTGCTTTTACAGCCTTTATGGGTGTAAAAGCAATCAGTGTAAAAAAGAAAAAAAAAAATCTTCATCACCCCCCACAAGTAGTACTGCTAGGGATGACAGTATGTAAAAAAAAAAAAAAAACATAAATAATAATAATATAAAAACATAAAATAAAAATGTAAAAAAATGTTTAAAAATTATAATTTTTGGTTATAAACTAATTTGTTTGTTTGTTTTTTTTTTATATAAAAAGGTAACGGAATAAATTTTGGCCGAGATTTATGATGAAATATTATTTATTTGCCAAATGTTATAAGAAAAACACTTTTTTTTTCAAAATTTTTGGACTTTTTAATTTATGTAGCAAAAAAAAATACAAATCCCAGCGGTGAATAAATACCACCAAAATAAAGCTTTATCTGTCTCAAAAAAATTCAAAAAAATTTCATATGGGTACAGTGTTGCATGACCGCGCAATTGTCATTCAAAGTGTGATAGCGCTGAAAGCTGAAAGCAGGAAGGGGGTGAAAATTGTCATTCAAAGGGTGAAAGCGGCTGGAAGGGGGGAAAGTGTCCGGACTGGAAGGGGGGGAAAGTGTCCGGACTGGAAGGGGGGGGGGAAAGTGTCCGGACTGGAAGGGGGGGAAAGTGTCCGGACTGGAAGGGAGGAAAGTGTCCGGACTGGAAGGGGGGGAAAGTGTCCGGACTGGAAGGGGGGGAAAGTGTCCGGACTGGAAGGGGGGGGAAGTGTCCGGGAAGGGGGGAAAGTGTCCGGACTGGATGGGGGGGGAAGTGTCCGGACTGGAAGGGGGGAAAGTGTCCGGACTGGAAGGGGGGGAAAGTGTCCGGACTGGAAGGGGGGGAAAGTGTCCGGACTGGAAGGGGGGAAAGTGTCCGGACTGGAAGGGGGGGAAAGTGTCCGGACTGGAAGGGGGGGAAAGTGTCCGGACTGGAAGGGGGGGGGGGGAAAGTGTCCGGACTGGAAGGGGGTGAAAGTGTCCGGACTGGAAGGGGGGAAAGTGTCCGGACTGGAAGGGGGGAAAGTGTCCGGACTGGAAGGGGGGGGAAAGTGTCCGGACTGGAAGGGGGGGAAAGTGTCCGGACTGGAAGGGGGGGAAAGTGTCCGGACTGGAAGGGGGGAAAGTGTCCGGACTGGAAGGGGGGGAAAGTGTCCGGACTGGAAGGGGGGGAAAGTGTCCGGACTGGAAGGGGGTGAAAGTGTCCGGACTGGAAGGGGGGGGGAAGTGTCCGGACTGGAAGGGGGGGAAAGTGTCCGGACTGGAAGGGGGGAAAGTGTCCGGACTGGAAGGGGGTGAAAGTGTCCGGACTGGAAGGGGGAGAAAGTGTCCGGACTGGAAGGGGGTGAAAGTGTCCGGACTGGAAGGGGGGGGGAAAGTGTCCGGACTGGAAGGGGGGGAAAGTGTCCGGACTGGAAGGGGGGAAAGTGACCGGACCGGAAGGGGGGGGGGAGTGTCCGGACAGGAAGGGGTTAAATAAAAAAAGCAACAAAGGAAGGTTCCCTTAAGGTCCCAGACTTGATAAAGTCAGAATAGGAATATAAAACGATCCTCTTTAATATTCAGGTTTGAGGGGTCCTCTGAGGGGGGGTGAAGTGGAGAGGACAGATCCCCCCCCCCCAATCTCCAGTAAATGCGGCCCGGTCCGGAGACAGCCTCGCTGCCTGTAAAACATAGAGAACGGCGTCTGGAGGCCGCGGCTCCCCCAGCACTTAATGTTCTGTATTGTTAAAAGCGGAACGTCAGGATAACTTATAGGGAGACATGAAGAAGTGGCAGTAATGATTTTTCATGTCACTTAGACATTACAGACGTCCTTAATTACTCCTTGGCAAAGGGCATATTTAAAGAGGAAGAGGAGAAGGTTCAGCGGCGTCATGAATAATTGAGGAACTCACAAACAGTCATATCGGCTGTACAGGGCGCTGGACACTTACAGGAAGTAGGACCGGCCCAGGGGGGCCCACATGGGGCCCCTTCATACTCAGCACAGACAATACGGGGGTCACTGTCCATGTGGGAACCAACAGGAGCATGTATTTCTCACTTGAAGATGGAGTGAGGAAGAGTCTGGGGCTGCGATGGAGAGATTTCCCTGCACTTCCTGTCCCGGGGACACTTTACTTCCCTCTATTCTATATACATTGGGGGTCTATCTGCCTTTAGTAAACCCCAATGTATATGGACTAGAATGAGGATAAAACGTATATGGACTAGACTGAGGATACAATGTATATGGACTAGAATGAGGATACAATGTATATGGACTAGACTGAGGCTAAAATCTATATGGACTAGACTGGGGATAAAATGTATATGGACTAGACTGAGGATACAATGTTTATGGACTAGAATGAGGATACAATGTATATGGACTAGACTGAGGCTAAAATCTATATGGACTAGACTGGGGATAAAATGTATATGGACTAGACTGAGGATACAATGTATATGGACTAGACTGAGGATACAATGTATATGGACTAGAATGAGGATACAATCTATATGGACTAGACTGAGGCTAAAATCTATATGGACTAGACTGGGGATAAAATGTATATGGACTAGACTGAGGATACAATGTATATGGACTAGACTGAGGATAAAACGTATATGGACTAGACTGAGGATAAAACGTATATGGACTAGATTGAGGATACAATGTATATGGACTAGACTGAGGATACAATGTATATGGACTAGAAATGAGGATAAAACGTATATGGACTAGACTGAGGCTAAAATCTATATGGACTAGACTGAGGATAAAACGTATATAGACTAGACTGAGGATAAAACGTATATGGACTAGATTGAGGATAAAACGTATATGGACTAGACTGAGGATAAAATGTACAGTCAAGTCTTTTCCAGGTAATAGGAACACGTGACTTTGTTTCAGTTGAAGCAATTGTGGGTGGAGGAGACAAATTCTCCTGAACTGAGGCCAGAGGTGGACATCTAGGACCACACAGATGAGTTTGTCCCTCCAATATCCGTCTTATGTTATGTGTCATACTGTTGCTGTCTCCGAAGATCTCTCCGTAGTTGTCCCTGGAGGAGTTCCTGGTCCTGCTCCCACCCAGATTGGATTTCTTAGTGTTCCCTCGATGGGAGGACAAGAGGAGACAATGTAGAACAGGTCCAGGATAGTTGAAAGGAGCTCCTGCAACCCGTCCGTTGAAACCACATTCTACATGAAACGGATGCATTTTGCCAAAACTGTAAAATTTCCCAAATCTTCGGCTTTTATTTAAAATTTCTGGAAAATAAAAAACATTTAAATTTGGCTTCTCCTATATCCCGGCTGGAACACAGAGGTGTCATAGCAAGTCTTCTCCACTTGCTGCTGACTTTAGGTGCATCTTATAGAGACTGGAGATTGTGACTCTTCCACACCCAGCTCTGTCCGTACCTCTTTTGCAGAGCTCTTGTCAAGATATTTAGCGGAGCACATTTGTTGGTGCCCTGCCCATCCTGATCATATACCGGTCATCAGGAACAGAGAACCAAAGCTACGAAAGAGGGACCACACACTCTACTTACTCCAGATGAGCACCTTCTTCTCATCACAGGTTACCACATACTGCCTCTATTTTGTACCTCCTTATCCTAAATGTGAGCCTTAGCTTCCTCCACGGAACCTACTGGTCTATAAAAACCTTATCTTCCTCCATAGAACCCAACGGTCGATAAAACCTTAGCTTTCTCCATAGAACTCACTGGTCTATAGAATCTTAGCTTCCTCCATAGAACCCACTGGTCGATAGAACCTTAGCTTCCTCCATAGAACCCACTGGTCGATAGAACCTTAGCTTCCTCCATAGAACCCACTGGTCAATAGAACCTTAGCTTCCTCCATAGAACCCACTGGTCTATAGAACCTTAGCTTCCACCATAGAACCCACTGGTCTATAGAACCTTAGCTTTCCTCCATAGAACCCAATGGTTGATAGAACCTTAGCTTCCTCCATAGAACCCACTGGTCGATAGAACCTTAGCTTCTTCCATAGAACCCACTGGTCGATAGAACCTTAGATTCCTCCATAGAACCCACTGGTCGATAGAACCTTAGCTTCCTCCATAGAACCCACTGGTCTATAGAACCTTAGCTTCCTCCATAGAACCCACTAGTCGATAGAACCTTAGCTTCCTCCATAGAACTGACTGGTCAATAGAACCTTAGCTTCCTCCATAGAACCCACTGCTCGATAGAAGAACATAGAACCTAGCTTCCTCCATAGAACCCACTGTCTAGAAACTTAGCTTCCTCCATAGAACCCACTGGTCCTTAGGTTCCTCCATAGAACTGACTAGTCGATAGAACCTTAGCTTCCTCCATAGAACCCATTGAGTCTCTCTGTTCAACAGAGACGCTAAACCAACATTATGAAATTTAGGCCTGCAATAGTTATCTGGAGACAGCACCTTTCTCTCTCCATAGGCCCACTCATGCATTCCTTACTTTGCCCCTCCACATTCCCAACCAGACCATCAGCTATTGCCATGGAGCTCATCACCAGCATTCACCCAGGGGAAGATTTCCCTGCCTGCAGTGTAGCCTTTCCACCTGTGAAGAGGACCTGCCATCAGTATACATTCCCAGCTCCTCCTTTTGGATTCTCCAAAAGATAAAATAAACACAAATTCAGAAAATATGGTTGGAGTCCTTCATAACGGACACAGCAGGCGTGCAGAGCTAGGAAATGCATACTGTGCAGCTAAAGGTATGTTGGCACTCTCCCAAATTATTGCATTCAGGTGTCCAAAGCTTGGTCCATAAAGACATGGTTTGACCAGTTTTGGTGTGGAGGAACTCGAGTGTGCTGCACAGAGCCCGGACCTCAACTCTACTGAACACCTTTGGGATTAATTAGAACACCAATTGCAAGCCAGGTCTTCTGCGTACAAAGTCAGCTTCATAAAGAAATTATTTGACCAGTTTAGTGAGGAGGAACT